ACCTTGCCGTGTCCGGCTGCTCCTTCTGGGTCTCTCACTGGGTTTCACGTCCCCTCGTTCTCCCGGAACTTGGTGGGCGTGCGACCCCTCGTGAGTCAGCACGTGGGTGTGTGGTTTGAGCCTTCTGGAGAGACTGCGGTGTGTGTTGACGGGGACTCTTACCAGCCCCTCGCCACTTTTGCTGCTGAGCCGGGCTCCGGTCTCTACACTCTTCACACTGGCCCGCGCGCTCAGCAGCGACTGCAGCAGCAGCAGCAGCCGCAGCAGCAGCAGCAGCAGCAGCAGCCGCAGCAGCAGCAGCGGCAGCAGCCGCAGCCGCAGCCACAGCGGCCGCCGTCGCAGCAGCCACTCCTCCCAGTTCCTGTCCCTCCCCCTAGTCTCCTCCCTGCGTCTCACCAGGTGGTTCCGTCCCCTCAGGTTGTCGCGTCCAGTCCAGTCGCTGCGTCTTGCTCCTGTCGGTCGCTTGCCCACCCCACCGTTCTGTGGCACCACCGGATGGGACACCCTTCTCTTCCACGTCTGCGTGCTATGTCTAGTCAGCGTCTGGTCTTAGGTCTCCCGCGTGTCTTGCCGTCGCTGCCGCCGTCTCTTGCACCACCGTGCGGTCCTTGCGTCGAGGGTAGGCTGCGTGCCACCCCTCACTCCTCCTCCCTTCGTCCGGCCACCGAGCCTTTTGAGACGCTGCACTTGGACGTCTGGGGCCCCTCTCCTCGCCCTGGCCCTGAGCGTGAGCGTTTCTTTTTGGTGGTCGTTGACGACTACTCCCGCTACACCACAGTGTTCCCCCTGGCGAGGAAGTCTGAGGTGACTTCTACGCTGATCAGGTGGTTGCTTACCACCCAGGACACTCGTGGTCGTCGTGTCAGCTGTCTCCACTCCGACCGCGGGGGCGAGTTTCGCTCCGGCATTCTCGCTGGATTCTGTCGCGAACAGGGCATTCGTCAGTCCTGGACGCTTCCGGAGTCCCCACAGCAGAATGGGGTTGCTGAGCGTCGCATAGGCCTGGTCATGGAGATTGCCCGCACCTCCTTGACTCACGCCCGTGCCCCCCATTTCCTGTGGCCATACGCAGTCAGGTACGCCGCGCACCAGCTGAACCTCTGGCCACGCGTCTCTCGGCCGGAGGCTTCACCGACCAGTCTTTGGACAGGGTCCCCTGGTGTCGCGTCGAGGTTTCGTGTCTGGGGGTGCTTGGCTCTTGTCCGCGACACCTCCGCGGACAAGCTCTCGCCTCGCGCCGTTCCTTGTGTCTTCCTTGGTTTCCCTGAGGACTCCTCTGACTTCACCTTTTACCACCCTCCCTCTCACCGGTTCTTTGACTCCCGTGACGTCCGTTTCGAGGAGTCCACCCCCTACTACGTCAGGTACCCCAGTCGAGGTCTCCCGGTTCCTCCTCCCCCCCTCTTCCTGACAGCCGCTCCCCCGCCTGCTCCCCCGGTACAGCCTGCTCCCCCTGGTCCAGCCCCGTCTGGCGTGTCTCAGGCTAGCCCTCCCCCTTCGGTAGCCCCCCCTGTACAGCCTCCCTCCCCACAGTCTTCCTCGCCGCCTCCTGCAGGTGCTCCCTCTCGAGAGGTTGGTCCGGCGACTGTCCCTGTACAGGTCTCTGGTTCTGGGGGTGCTGGAGTTGGAGCTGAGCCGCGGGTTGCAGAGGACTCTTGTCTTCCGGGGGCTGGTACTGGTCGTGCGGAGTCTGGGGGTGCTGCGTCTGGGGGTGAGGGTGTCCCTTCGGTTTCTGGAGGGCCTGGGTCTGGAGCTGGTGTTGGTGCTGCCTCTGGGGGTGGTGTGCTTGGTGCTTCGGAGGTCGACTCTGGGGCTGCCGCTGCCCCGGACACTACTCCTTCCCCCCACCCCTACCCGACCAGGTTCCAGGCTCGTGTTCGTCGTGCTCGTGAGGAGCAGCTGGAGTTGGAGAGAGAGGAGAGAGAGTTGCAGCGGCTCGAGGAGCAGGAGCGACAGCAGCAGGAGCAGCAGCAGCCGCAGCAGCAGCAGCAGCAGCCGCAGCAGCCGCAGCAGCCGCAGCAGCCGCAGCAGCAGCAGCTGCCGTCTCCTCCTCCTGTCTCGGGTCTTCGGACCCTTGGTCTCCCCTCTCCCTCTCCTTCCTCCTCCCCCTCTCCTCCCGTCTCTGGTCCTCCGCTTCCTCCTCCTGACCCCTCTCCCGCTGTTTTCCCTCGTTCTCAGTCTTCGTTGTCCCCTCCTCCTTCTCAGACTTGGGCCTCTCGTCGCTCCCCTCGTGCTCGTCCCTCGTCTCCTGTTCCCTTCACTGACCTTCGTACTGCCTTACTTCGTTCTAGTCCACCTCGTCCGTCTCCGTCTGTGCTTCCGTCTCCTCCTGAGTCGGCTCTCACTGCGTCGCTCCCTACTCCTGTCACTGACTACTACCGCACGTACCGTCCTCTTCTCTCTCGTGTTCTCGCCTCACTTGTTACTCACCCTCGTGCCTCTGTGTCCTCTGTGTCCGCTCTTACTGCCGCAGTCACTGAGTTTGCCTCTACCCGCCGCCTTGACTTCGCCACCGCTCTTGTGGCTGCTCCTCCTTCCAGTCCTCTGGCCGTCGGGGGTGTGTCTGCCCTTGGCAGTGACGCCCTAGAGGACAGGCAGTTTGAGCTAGAGTTCCTGGCGGCCGCTTCCCCTCATCTCTGTGCCATGCTCCTCGCCCCTGAGGGTGACCCCGACGCCCTTGACATTCCGACTCCTCGCACTTACGCTGAGGCAGTGTCAGGGCCTTGGGCCTCTCAGTGGAGAGCTGCCATGGACGCAGAGATGGCCTCCTACAGATCCACAGGCACCTACGTTGATGAGGTTCCCCCTCCGGGGGCGAACGTAGTCGACGGCATGTGGATCTACAGGGTGAAGCGGCCACCGGGATCTCCTCCGGTCTTCAAGGCGCGCTACGTGGCTAGAGGTTTCAGTCAGCGCGAGGGAGTTGACTTCTTTCAGACCTTCGCGCCCACCCCGAAGATGACCACTCTTCGGGTGTTACTACACGTAGCAGCACAGAGAGACTACGAGTTACACTCTCTCGACTTCTCTACTGCTTTCCTTCAGGGCAGTCTTCACGAGGAGGTCTGGTTGCGTCGTCCCTCTGCCTTCACTGGCTCTTTCCCTCCTGGGACCCAGTGGAGGCTGAGGCGACCGGTTTACGGTCTTCGTCAGGCTCCTCGTGAGTGGCACGACACCCTGCGTTCTACCCTGTCTGACCTTGGGTTCCAGCCGTCTTCTGCTGACCCGTCGCTGTTCGTTCGTCGTGGCACCACACCTTTCTTTGTTCTGGTCTACGTTGACGACCTTGTTTTCGCCACCCCTGACAGGGTTGCTTTGGCACACGTGAAGTCCGAACTGCAGAAGAGACACACCTGCACTGATCTTGGTGAGCTGCGCCACTACCTTGGCCTGCAGATCACCAGGGACAGAGCTGCTCGCACCATTACACTTTCACAGTCGCACATGGTGCAGCAGGTCCTTCAGCGGTTCGGGCTTCAGCACTCCACAGTACAGCGCACACCTCTTGCTGTTGACCACAGACTCACTGGACCCTTTCCTGACGAGCCGTTCGAGCCTAGTGGTCCCTACGCAGAGCTTGTGGGTTGCCTCATGTACCTGATGACTTGTACTCGCCCGGACCTCGCCTTCCCTCTCAGCGTTCTTGCGCGCTTTGTTGCGCCAGGGAGACACCGTCCTGTTCACTGGACAGCAGCTGTGAGGGTGGCGAAGTACCTAGCGACGACGTCAGGCGTGGGGCTAGTTCTTGGAGGGCAGCAGTCTGTCGTACTTACTGGTCACTGTGACTCCTCTTACGCTGACGACGCTGAGACTCACAGGTCTACTCAGGGGTACTGTTTCAGCCTGGGTTCTGGAGCTGTTTCCTGGCGGTCCACGCGCTCCTCTTCGGTCTCGACCTCTACAGCTGAGGCTGAGATCTACGCTGGTGCCATGGCGGCACAGGAGCTGCGTTGGTTGACCTTCTTGCTCACCGACCTTGGTGAGCGGCCGAGCTCTGCACCGACCTTGTTCACTGACAACAAGGCGTCTATTCTCCTTTGTCGAGAGCCACGACTGGAGAGCAGAGTGAAGCACATTCACGTCAGGTACTTTCTTCTGCGAGAGTTGCAGAGGCGTGGACAGGCTCGCTTTGAGTTTGTGGAGTCCGAGGCCAACACTGCAGACATCTTCACCAAGGCGCTTCCGCCTTGTGACCACCAGAGGTGTTGTGTGCAGTTAGGCCTTGTTGACACTGGTTCTCGTGTTGCTTAGACTTGAGTGTACTGTTTACTTTGCTTTCTATATATCTCTGTTACTTCTTGGACTGGCCTTGTGGCCACTGTTGTTTGTGCTCAGACTGTGTGGTGACGTTGTGATCCACCCTGAGCTTTGTTTCTTGGACTGGTCTTGTGACCGTACTCGTTTGGTTCTGCTAGACACCCCTCACTTAGGCTATGGGGGTGTGTCAAATGTTGTAGCCTATAGTGAGGTTTGTCTTAGGGGGTACAAAACTTAGGGTTAGCTATATGTACCCCAACCAACATCAATGCACCATCCATTCTTCATTCTGACAGGGGACACCTGTTCCATGAGAGCAAGATGCTCATGTTTGGTGGCAATGATGAGCCCCCTATGGCGCTGATGCTAGGTACCTGTTGCTTACATAGGAAGAATCTAGTGATTGTTCGTGGCTTCAGCAATAATAACTGTTGAGTGTAGCAAACACTACCATTCACATTGCATGTCGTTCCTACAAGTCACCTTGACAAAACTGGCTGCTTCTAAAGGTGTTATTGCTAAAGTGAAACAGTAACTTCAAGGGTCTCATTATTGCACGCCGCTCCAACAAGCCACCTCGACAAACTGGCTGCTTCTTTAGGTGTTGCTGCTACAGTGACATGGTACGGTAACTTCAAGGGTCTCATTATTGCACGCCGCTCCAACGAGCCACCTCGACAAACTGGCTGCTTCTTTAGGTGTTGCTGCTACAGTGACATGGTACGGTAACTTCAAGGGTCTCATTATTGCACGCCGCTCCAACGAGCCACCTCGACAAACTGGCTGCTGCCAAAGATGTTGTTGCTGAAGCGGATGAGAACGGTGAAGACGCGGGCTCCAAGAGGCATGCTGCGGGCTAAGGGTGACGACTCGACTACTCGCTCCAAGCCGTTGATGATTTGATAACGCGTGTTGGATGACACTGCCATGAATCCACCTGGGGGAAAGAAGGGAATTAGGAAAACAGGGGTAGGTACTACGAACTAGGGAGGTCAAGACTCCACCACCCGCTTCAGCCCGTTGAAGACCTGATAGCGCGTGATGGATGACACGGCCATGAATCCACCTGGTGAGAGGAGGAATTGAAGAGGATAAAGGGTAGGGTTTAGAGTGCGTCGTGGGGGTTGCAAGACTAGACCACTCGCTCCAAGCAGTTGATGATCTGATAGCGCGTGTTGGATGACACTGCCATGAATCCACCTGGGGGGGGAGAAATGGCGTGGGGAAGTGTGGGGACGAGGGGAAGAGTTTGAGACATGGGAAGGGAAAAATCACCATCGTTAACTCCACAACCCTCTCCAAGCCGTTGATGATCCGATAGTGCGTGTTGGAAGACACTGCCATGAAGCCACCTGGGGGGATGATGCGGGAGGGGTAAGGGTGGGAATGATGAATCAGAAATCAGAAATAAAGCCATATGGGAGGGAGGGTTGACAGGTAGGAAAGGGTATATTTTAGGGGAGTGTGGTCGTGGTTTGGGTTTGCAAGAGAAAGGAGTGAGAGTGGGTGAGGACAAGTGTATATCATACCACAAGTGTGACAGAGACTTTTGTGATTTTTTTTGTTGCTTTTTATTTAGCGTATGTCATACCCCAGAGTAAGGCGGTGGGAATCATGCCCGGGATCTTGACCTCCTCCTCGTGCTCCCCTGGCTTCCTCAAATTCCTGTCACCTCAAATGTGTCACGCACAGGCACAGAGAGAGACACACACGCACATAGAGACACACACGCACATAGAGGCACACACGGAGACACACAAGTGAGTCGCAGGGCAGTGGGAAGCATGCCGAGTATCTTGACCTCCTCCTCGTGCTCCCCTGGCTTCCTCAGATTCCTGTCCCCCCAAGCATGCACACACACACACACACACACACACACACACACACACACACACACACGCACACGCACACGCACACGCACACGCACACGCACACGCACACGCACACGCACACGCACACGCACACGCACACACACACACACACACACACACACACACACACACACACACAGAGAGAGAGAGAGAGAGACGCACATGCGCACACACAAAGAGGCACACACGGAGATGCACATGGGCATATCATAAACACACTCGCAATCACACACACCCACCCCAGTGCTTCTGTGTGTGCAGGCAAGCAAGAGACACAGTCGCACAGACGCACACGGGGATGCATGGACGCACATGCAAGTGAGTAATCAACACCGATTGTACTTCTCACGCTTCCCATCCCCCCCTTCCCTCGCAAACTCAAATCTTGACTTCCCATCCCCCACTTCCCATCCCCCACTTCCCATCCCCCACTTCCCATCCCCCACTTCCCATCCCCCACTTCCCATCCCCCACTTCCCATCCCCCCTACCACCACGAACCTCTTGATTAGCACAATAGCCGTTGTCATCGCCTGACCAATCAGACCGCAGCTGAACCCCACCACAGCATACTGCGCGCCCTTCACCAACCACGTTGCACCCCTCTGCGCCACACTGTATCTCCTCCCAGGCAGCGCCGCCTCAAACATGCTGCTGGGAAGCGCCTCCAGAGCTGCAGCCAGGCCCGGCGGCACCAAGCCTGGCCGCCTGCCTCGGGCTGCCGAAGCTGCGGCGCTGCTGCCGAACCTAGCCATGGGCGCGAGCATGCTGACGAGAGCAGCGTCTACTGCGAATCCCACGAGGATATCTGACATGTAGAGATCAAACTCCTTCCAGAAATCGTCTCCTCGCTTCCGCACTTCAGCAAATGTGGCACAGCCAGAGTCGATTACAATCTGGTGGGGAGGGTGGGGCGGGGAGAGAGGAGGGTGAAGGGTAGAAGATAAGGACACACAGATGGTGAGTGTATCAGGGTTCGGGGTTGAGGGATTATGTCAGGGGTTAGGGGTTTACTTTGGAGCGGTATTCTCAATGAGAACGTTGCATACACAATGGCGCGCTCGAAAATAAAAAAAAACTCAACAGTGGAACATGTACTCGGTTAAATTCAACCCTCGTTACAAGCACGGAAATTCATTAAAACTTCAATGAGGTTTGACGGATCAGCAGGCAAACGGTGCACACACAGTGAGCCGTACTCGATATAGGAACGCCTTGTTAAAGTACCTTCCAAATACAGGCACATGCATATACACGCACCTCTGTGAACACTTTAAAGAGGAAGGCGGGATCCGCCAGCAGCCTATCGCGCAACCCGGAGAACGCGCGAGTGGCGGCGGCGAGAATGCCTCCGCGCACCTGACGGGGGGAGAAAAGGGGGGATTGTGAGAGCAGGGGGGAAAAGGGGAGATGAAGGAGGAGAATGGGAGATGAAGGGGGAGGGTGGTGGGATCGAGACCCTTACAGAGAACGGACGGGGTTTCGGAAAAAGGTGGACGAATGTAACATGCGTCCTTTCGACGTTTAATGAAGAACATGCTACTATACGGTAGGAAGACCAGACTTCGATATAGTCACACGGACCTGCAGGTCGATGTATCGCTGCAGCAGCAGCTCCGCAATGCCGTGCTCCTTCACATGAGCCAGCATGTCCTCCGGTAGAGTCACACCCGCCTTAGATAACGCCTCCTCCGCTTGCGCCCAACCCAGAATCGGACCATAGTCGCTCTCCGCATCCCCCGCATTTCCTTCTCCGCCAAGCCCATCCCCTCCCCCTCCGCTTCCGCCTCCGCCTCCGCCGGAGCTTCCGCCTGCGCCGTCACCTCCCCCGCCGCCGAGCTGCGTCACGTAACCGGCAGATGAAGCGGCCGCGCTGGTGGCTACTGACGGCCTTGACGGTTTGCCGTCGGAAGACCTGGATCTGCCGTCCAAACCGGACAATGTAGCAATGTTCGGGTTCAGAGCGGTGGAGATCGGTAGATCGTTAGACGGATCTGCGCTTGCGATGACGATGACTGCGCGGTGGCTCTTCGGATTGCTGGCCGCGCGGAATGCGGCGGCGGGAACGGTAATGGAATGCGAAAGTCGCACAGTGAAAACCGGCTCCTGGGATCGCCAGCCATTGGATGACGATCCAACGGCTGTCGTGAAGCCTTGAGCAGCCGCAGCCGGGTTCGCTGAATGCAAGGCCATGGCCAAACGATCTGACGCGATTTGCGCTAAGACCAAGGCACAGAATCTCGTAGACCAGGTTTGCAAGCTTTTGGAGTTTCTGTGCAAGCAAGAAGACTTCGAGCGAGCACAAAACTCAGAGCGAGCCATTGTACATCAACCGCAATAATGCACCCTGTTCTGTATTGTACGCGATATACGAAGAATTTTGTACTATGAACACTGTAGCTGCGGTGCTCGGCTCTGCCACGGTTCTGCAAATCTGCAGCTTCGCCTTACAGCCGCAGCACATTTTGTCCACGTGGAGCCCAGCCAAAGGCTTGCTTCTTGCTTTCCCACCAATCAAAGATGAAATTCGTGTGCGATCGAACCAGTCACATTTCATCCTCGTACACTCCGCTTGAGATCATGCATTACTACGTACACTTCGATTTTGTCTAAACTGAAACAACTACAATCAATTATGTGCTACTTAGTAGTACTCGTTGCAACTCCGAAGGCTTTAGAGGCTTGGTGATGAAGCTATCCATCCCCACCTCCATGCACCGCTCCCTATCCGATGCCAAAGCGCTGGCGGTTAGAGCAATGATGCGAGGCCGGCGTATACGCTGCTTCCGACGGTATGTACATTCTTGGGACTCGATGTCCCTGTCAGCCTTGCTGGTCATCTCTGTTAGTTTGCCTTGCGAAGCTGCTGCAGCAGCCGAAGCAGGGGCCGCTATACTGGAATCAAAGCCGCTGCTGGTGCCATTACTATTGAAGTATGGAACCTTATTCTGATCAGTATAATGTTGTAGAATGAGGCGTGTTGCCTCAAACCCATCCATCTCAGGCATATGGCAGTCCTGGAGTCGAGAATGCCAGGGAAAGGGCAGAGACAGCAAGAAATTGGTTCATTTGATTTTTTGTTCAGAACAAGGAAAAAGGCTGTTCAGCATGAGTGTCGCCCCACAGAACCACCAACGTTCAAATTAACTCTTCACAAGACGCCTGGAAATACTCACTATAAGGTGTCTCACCATGAGCACAAGGTCGTAGTCCCTCTGAGCACACTTATCAACCGCCTCCCGGCCATTGACAGCCACGTCACTCCCCGGCTGTGCAGCATGCGCGTCACCACCAGCTGGTTCACCCCACAGACAGACCATGACACACCTTGAATTACTCACTATAAGACGACTCACCATAAGCACGAGGTCATAGTCCCTCTGTGCGCACTTATCAACAGCCTCCCGGCCATTGATAGCCACGTCACAAGCCACGCCCAGGCTGTGCAGCATGCGCGTCACCACCAGCTGGTTCACCCTGTTGTCCTCTGCTACCAGGCACCTCATTCCCTCAAACGGTGACTTGGTCCCTTCTCCCTCATCTGCGCCATGCCTCTGCCCCTGCTTCCTCCCCTGTTCCTGTGCTTCATCCCTCCATGCATCTTCACCGTGCGTCACCACCAGCTGGTTCACCCGGTTGTCCTCTGCCACCAGGCACCTCATTCCCTCAAACAGTGACTTCGCCCCTTCTCCCTCGTCTGCGCCATGCCTCAGCCCCTGCTTCCTCCCCTGTTCCTGTGCTTCATCCCTCCATGCATCTTCACCGTGCGTCACCACCAGCTGGTTCACCCGGTTGTCCTCTGCCACCAGGCACCTCATTCCTTCAAACCGTGACTGCCTGCCTTTTCTCCCATCTGCTCCATGCCCCCTTCCCTGATGCTCACCCCGTCCTTTCTGCCCTCCCTGTTTGCCCTGCTCTCCCTGCTCTCCCTGCTTCTGCGCTTCTTCAACCAGTAATCGCTCTTCCGCTGTGCAGCGCCCATTGCCCTGCTTCTGCTTCTGCCGCTGCTCCATGACACACACTCTCTTCGCATCCTCCTCTGCTGCTTCAACATCTTCCCTGCTACAAATGCCACCACCGCTGCTGCCACCACCGCTGCTGCCACCACCGCTGCTGCCGCTACCGCTGCTGCCACCCCTGCTGCCAATGCTGCCGCTGCTACCGCTGGTGCCACTGCCGTTGCCGTTACTGATGCGGTTACACACTCGCTGCAGGGCGTTGTTTAAATGAACACTGTTGTCCGGTGCTGTTGCCTGGTCAGGTGCCTGATTGGTTGGCTGGTTAATTGAACGATCAGTTGAACAATCAACTGTGAAATCACCTTCACGTTTATTTGCACTAAGGTGATTAGTCATATCAGTGCGCAAAGGACTGCTTTGAAACGCCTTTAAAGGAGGACGAGGAGGGGGAGTGGTGCTGCGCGTGGCATCAGAACACCATGGCAGTGAGAGTAGTAGGGAAGGTGGGAGTGAAGCCGAGAGGGAGGGAGAAATGAATGGCGAGACGGAGGCCACTGGTGGAGAAGGCGTGGGGGCAACGGGAGGTGCAGCGAAAGCGGGAGGTGCAGGGATAGTGGGAGGTAACCCGAAAGCGGGAGGTGCAGGAAGAGCAGGAGATGGGTGGTGTGAGGAAAGACGGCGGTGGCGTTTAGGCTGATGAGAGTTCCGGGCAATCAAGGTAGGCTCAACTGAGGGGCGAGCAGGTAGGACTGGGGGAGGCGGCACTGACATAGCCTGCACCGGGAGTGATGTGTTAGTTCTATCTGCTTCTGGGGCAGGTGCTTTTGGGTGTGGTTCAGTGGCAGATATTGCTGCGACAGATGGTTGTGCGTCAGTCTGACGCGCAGCAGCAGCAGCAGTGTGGGGCGCAGCAGCACAGGGGGAGGAGGGTACAGAGGAACTGGGAGGTGTGGGGTTGGGAAGGGGACACGGAGCAAGGGAGGCAGCTGCACGGGAGGAAGGAGCAGCAGCAGGGGAGGTGGCAGCAGGGTAGGTGGTTTGTACTTCATGTATGCCCCCAGTAAGGGAGTTGGTTTCTGCTATAGGTGCATCTGGGGCAGGCTTACCTGATTTCCACTGGCCAAACGGGACGCAGACGGTGAAAGTAGTCCCGGCCCCAAGTTGACTCTCCACTTCGATCCGCCCACCCATGAGGCCAATGAGCGAGTGACAAATGGCAAGGCCCAGTCCCGTGCCTCCGAAGCGGCGCGAGGAGGAGGAGTCGGCCTGAGTGAAGGGATGGAAGATGTGGGGCATGGTGTGGGCCGCCATGCCTATGCCTGTGTCCTGCACCCTCACCTGCACCCACTCCACTGACCCATCGTCCTGTCCCTCCTGTCCCCCCTGCTGCCCATCCTGCCCTTGCTGCCTCTCCTGCCCCTCTGGTATAATGTGCGGTGCCATGCCTATGCCTGTGTCCTGCACCCTCACCTGCACCCACTCCACTGACTCATCCTTCTCCTTCCCCTGCTGCTGTCCCTGCTGCTGTCCCTGCTGCTGCCCCTGCTGCTGCCCCTGCTGCTGCCCCTGCTGCCCCTGCAGCAACCTGTCCCCCCTGCTGTCCCTGATGATTCATCTCAACGTGGGTCAAGTCCTCAAGCCATCCGCTCGCCTCCACCCACATCCCTCCCTCCAACCGTCCTTCCTCCCTTGCAGACCCGCCCACCCACCTATTCTTCATCGCGCCACCGCTCTCCACCTCTGCTCTTGCTGTCTGAACCAAATCAGACCACCTCTTCCTCTCCTCTCCTCCATCATGCTCCTGCTCCTCATCTCTCCCCTCTCCCTCCCTCTGCCTTTTCTTTCCCCGAGACCTTCCAACCCCACCACCAGTACCACTGCCTGCTCCTCCTCCTCCTGCTGCTCCTCCAGTACCAGTGACTCGTGAGGGAGTGGGTTTGTTCAACCCGGTCACATGCACTGCAACAGAGCCTCTGGAATGGGAGGGGAGGAATGCACAGAGAGAGAGGAAAGGGCAGGCGATAAGGGAAGGTTTGTTCAACCCGGTCACATGCACTGCCATGCCACAGAGCCTCTGTAAAGGGGAGGGATACACACAGGGGGTGAGGGCAGCATGAGAGTGTTGCGCGAGCGGTGCTGCAGTAGGCTCTTTCAGTGGAACAAGGGAAGGGGAACGGTCGCAGGAGAGGAGGGAAGGGAAGCAAAGCGGAAGAGAGTGATGAGGGGCGCCGGGGTGCCTCTATTGTTGTGGGTTTCAAGCCAATGAAGGCTCGGAATGATCAATGCATCAGCTTGCCAAACCTAATTTAGCAATTATGAAATGTCAAATCGCATCCTCTAGACTAGACTCACCTATCGGTGAATTTAATGGCGTTTGAGAGCAGGTTGAGCAGCACCTGGCGGAACCGCATTGCATCGCCCACCACCTCCTGTGGCGTGGATGGATCGATGGTCACTGACAGCTGAGGTGATCACAAGGAAAGAAGGGGAGAGATGACGTGAGGGGGAAGGAGAGGGGGGCGGGGAGGGAGGACAGGACTGATGAAAAACTGGAAGCGAGAATTCTGATACAACTGATTAGGACAAGTGGCAACACACAACCTAACTTGAAGAAAATCTTTCTTAGCTGCAGCCCTTTCTTGACGGCAACAACTCTCATGAGCGTGAGCGAGAGGGCTTGGGCGTGGGAGTGTGGGAGTATGAGCAAGAGAGTGTGGGAGTCTGAGCAAGAGAGTGTGGATGCGGGAGTGAGACACACCTGCAGCCCTTTCTTGAGAGCAACAACTCTCATGAGCGCGAGGGTGCTGTCAACAGCTGAGTGCAGGCAGAAGGGCGCGAGGGAGAGCGCGAGCGAGCTGGACTCGATGCGGGTGATATCGAGGAGGTCTGAGAGGATTCGCACGAGGCTCTCCCCCGATGCCCGCACCACGTGCAGCAGCGCCCGCTGCTCGCTGCTCATGCCTGAGCTTAGCAGCAGCTCCACCACGCCTAATACGCCTGGTGAGCCAGCACGGAATGAGGGGGGGGAGGAGGGGAGGAGGGATGGATGGGCGAATGTGCAAGCCTGTTTTTAAGGCACCGCACCTCACGAGGCTCTCCCCCGATGCTCGCACCACGTGCAGCAGCGCCCTCTGCTCGCTGCTCACACCCGAGGCTCCATCAGCCATCAGCCACCAGCCATCAGGCATCAGGCATCAGGCATCAGGCATCAGGCATCATCAGGCATCATCAGCCATCATCAGCCATCAGCCATCAGCCATCAGCCATCAGCCATCAGCCATCAGCCATCAGCCATCAGCCATCAGCCATCAGCCATCAGCCATCAGCCATCAGGCATCAGGCATCAGCCATCAGCCATCAGCCATCAGCCATCAGCCATCAGCCATCAGCCATCAGCCATCAGCCATCAGCCATCAGCCATCAGCCATCAGCCATCAGCCATCAGCCATCAGCCATCAGCCATCAGCCATCAGCCATCAGCCATCAGCCATCAGCCATCAGCCATCAGCCATCAGCCATCAGCCATCAGCCATCAGCCATCAGCCATCAGCCATCAGCCATCAGCCATCAGCCATCAGCCATCAGCCATCAGCCACCACCTCCATCCCCTCATTACCATTCATGGGAGTGCGCAGCTCGTGGCTCATGTTGGCCAGGAACTGCGTCTTGGCGCGGCTGGCCGCCTCTGCTGCTTCTTTAGCATGCCGCAGCTCCTCCTCCCTCCGCTTCGCCTCCCTCATATCATGCCACACCACAATCACACAGTCCCGCCCCGCTGCCACTATGTGCTGAAATGAAGGGATGAAAACACACAGGCAAACATCCACAAGGAGAAGAGAGGAGGAGAGACGATCAGCTTGGAGTGATAAGCACCCATCTCATCTCATTACCTCATCTCATTACCTCATCTCATTACCTCATCTCATTACCTCATCTCATTACTATCCGTCCACAGCCATGCCCTTTTCCTACAAGTGACTCTAACAAGCACAGTGCATCCACTCGAAGCTGATCGCCTCGTCGCTCTGCAGCACCTGCGCCATCACCTCAACAGCAACTGCCGGGCCTGCTTTCCGCTCACCTTCACTCGCACCAGCACAAGCAGAGGTGATCCATCCAGGGCACAGCACAAGCAGAGGTGATCCATCCGGGCACGGTGCATCCACTCAAAGCTGGTCGCCTCTCCGCTCTGCACTCTCGCCATCACCTCTCCCTGCCTCTTTCCCCCACACTCACTTGCACCAGCCACAGGCAGGGCCCCTCACCTTCACTCGCACCAGCACAGGCAGGGGCGACCCATCCAAGGCACGGTGCATCCACTCGAAGCTGATAGCTTCGCCGCTCTGCACCCGCGCCATCATCTCACCATCCACCCCTGTCCCTGCCTTTCCTCCAACTCCTCACCTTCACGCGAACCAGCACAGGGAGGGGGGACCCATCCAGGGCACGGTGCATCCACTCGAAGCTGATGGCCTCTCCGCTCTGCACCCGCGCCATCACCTCTCCCGCCGCTTCGGCCGTCGGACGGCCGTCCGGCTGGACGGGCGGCGAGAAGCTGGCGTGGAACGGGCGGCACATGACGTCTGCTTTGGAGGCGCAACCCAGGATGGTGACAGCCGCCTCGTTGCAGTCTGTTATGACGTCCTCGTGCAGACAAAAGATGAATATGGGATCCTGAGTAGTAAGGGGAGAGGCAGGGGCAGGGAAGAGTGAGAGAGAAGGAGAGGTGCAGCCGAGAATGCTGACAGCTGCCTCGTTGCAGTCTGTGATCACGTCCTCGTGCAGACGAAAGATGAATATGGGGTCCTGATTGGCAAGAGAAGCGGCAGGGAGAGGGGTGTGCGTGTGGTGGAGACAGAATATAAAGAGGGAGCTGGCTGTCAACAAAGCCTGCTGACAGCCGCCTCGTTGCAGTGTGTGATCGTCTCCTCGTTAAGGCGGTATATATATATATATATATATATAAAACGGATCCTGAAGAAGTACGCAAGGGAAGAGAGGGGAGCAACCCAGGAGAGGTGTATGGACAGAGAGTGAGGGGAGGGGGGTGTATGGACAGAGAGTGAGGGGAGGGGGGTGTATGGACAGAGAGTGAGGGGAGGGGGGTGTATGGACAGAGAGTGAGGGGAGGGGGGTGTATGGACAGAGAGTGAGGGGAGGGGGGTGTATGGACAGAGAGTGAGGGGAGGGGGGTGTATGGACAGAGAGTGAGGGGAGGGGGGTGTATGGACAGAGAGTGAGGGGAGGGGGGTGTATGGACAGAGAGTGAGGGGAGGGGGGTGTATGGACAGAGAGTGAGGGGAGGGGGGTGTATGGACAGAGAGTGAGGGGAGGGGGGTGTATGGACAGAGAGTGAGGGGAGGGGGGTGTATGGACAGAGAGTGAGGGGAGGGGGGTGTATGGACAGAGAGTGAGGGGAGGGGGGTGTATGGACAGAGAGTGAGGGGAGGGGGGTGTATGGACAGAGAGTGAGGGGAGGGGGGTGTATGGACAGAGAGTGAGGGGAGGGGGGTGTATGGACAGAGAGTGAGGGGAGGGGGGTGTATGGACAGAGAGTGAGGGGAGGGGGGTGTATGGACAGAGAGTGAGGGGAGGGGGGTGTATGGACAGAGAGTGAGGGGAGGGGGGTGTATGGACAGAGAGTGAGGGGAGGGGGGTGTATGGACAGAGAGTGAGGGGAGGGGGGTGTATGGACAGAGAGTGAGGGGAGGGGGGTGTATGGACAGAGAGTGAGGGGAGGGGGGTGTATGGACAGAGAGTGAGGGGAGGGGGGTGTATGGACAGAGAGTGAGGGGAGGGGGGTGTATGGACAGAGAGTGAGGGGAGGGGGGTGTATGGACAGAGAGTGAGGGGAGGGGGGTGTATGGACAGAGAGTGAGGGGAGGGGGGTGTATGGACAGAGAGTGAGGGGAGGGGGGTGTATGGACAGAGAGTGAGGGGAGGGGGGTGTATGGACAGAGAGTGAGGGGAGGGGGGTGTATGGACAGAGAGTGAGGGGAGGGGGGTGTATGGACAGAGAGTGAGGGGAGGGGGGTGTATGGACAGAGAGTGAGGGGAGGGGGGTGTATGGACAGAGAGTGAGGGGAGGGGGAAGAGAGAAAGCAACCCAGGATGGTGACTGCCGCCTCGTTGCAGTCGAACGATGAATCTGGGTTCCTGAAGGGACGAGGGAGAGAGGAGGAGGAGGGGGGGGGGAGGTGCAGTGCAGCAGTCGAATATGATGAGCTGTTGGTACCATAGGATGAGCTGTTGGTACGAATACATCTATTTGAGGATGGAGAGCCAAGAAGCAGAAAGGGGTGAATTTATTTTTGAGGCGCCTCTAAAATAAAAAGCGGTGCTTTTGACTTGGTGTGTAGTATCATACATATCATGGACAGCTGAACTCAAGCATTACTGGAGATAGTAAATGGAGTTGATTGGTACCATAGAGAGCTCAAAGACAGCTCGGTATCGCACGTTCTCCTCACTCAGCCCTGCCAGGTGACTTTAGAGTCAACACAAAAGACAAGTGCAGGTGCTTGCAACACATACCATGGAGAGCTCAAAGACAGCTCGGTATCGCACGTTCTCCTCACTTAGCCTCGCCACCTCCTCCATCCTCGCTAGTAGCTGCTCCGCTATACTGGCGCCCCCATCGCCACCACCACCACCATCATAGCCCCCCGCACCACCCTCGTTAGCATTGCCATCGACAGCAGCAGCGGCCGAACCATTACCAACACCACCTAAAACTAAACCACCAATATTGCCATCACCGCCACCACCACTGACGTCACAAGCACCATCACTATCCCCACACGCTTCATCGTCACATGCCGCCACTACGGCGTTTCCTTCTCGGCCACTTAAATCACCCTCACTGCTTGAATGATCCCCTGAGTGCCTTTCCTCAACCAGCATATGTTCACAACAACTAACAGCAGCCGCACTGGCATTTAAACACTCAGATACTCCTGCCGTTCCTCCTTCTGCTGCTGTTGCTGCTTCTGCTGCTGCTGCTGCTGTTGCTGCTGCTGGTGGTCCTCCTGCTGCTGGCACTGCTGCTACTGCCAATGTTGCTGCTGTTGGTACGCCTGCCAATGCTGCTGCTGCTGCTTCCGCTGCTGTTGGTGCTGCTCCCGCTGCTACTCCTCCAGCTGCAGTTTCCCAAGAGGGCGCAACGGCGACCTGTGATTGGCTCACTGCGTCTCTCAAGCCCTGCAATTGGACCGCCAGTTCCCTCGGCCCCTGCGATTGGCTGGCGGCGTCTCTCGAGCTCTGCGATTGGCCGGCGCCAGTGCGGCACGGCAGCGCGTCGGAGTGCGATCGGAGCATGCAGGAGAGACGCTCCAAGCGCGAGCGCACTGCGTCCTGGGTTGGGAGGGGTTGGAGGGGTTGGGAGGGGTTGGGAGGGGTTGGGAGTTAGGAGCGTCGAAAGGAAAGCAACAGAGCGCATGATTAAGAAACCGCCTCACATAGAGGGGCTGCTCCGCCATAGCGCCTTCCGACGCCGCATGATGCCTCCGCTTCTTCCACTTCCGCTCTGCGTCAAGGCCCTCCGCGCCAAGCTGTTCCGCGCCGAGCCCCTCCGCCTCGCCGCCTCCTGCTTCCGCCGCGCTGCTCCCGCAGCGGGCACTAGCGCGCAAAACACTCCCCTCCGCGCTGCTCTGCTGGGGGATACCCTCCCGCGCAACGATTCCGCCCGCGCCGCTTCCGCTGACAGCCTCCCGCGCATTAATTCCGTCGGCGCCGCTATTACCGCGGTTAGCCACGCGCGCAACTGCCGCCGACGGGTCAAAAGCGCGCCGAGCATCGGTTCCGTCCGCCGCGCTTTCTCCATAAATCGCCGCCCCGCCCCCCCAACGCCCCGTCGCATTCTCCGCGTCCGCTTCCCCCGGCCGATCCGCGCGCAAACCTGCGCGGCACTCACTAATCGTCTTTCCGACAAATTTGTGCGAATTCTCAAAACCCAGCTGATTTTCCTGAGAATCCTCCAAAAAAGTTTTCCTCCAAACCTCTTCCCCTCTCGCTCCGCCCACCCCGCTCGCCGCTCGGCGCTGTAGATTTGGTTCGAAAGGGTCATTATCCTCGTTATGGGCTCCCGCGGTAAGAGCACTGCGCACGTGGCAGCGGCAGCAGCAATCCCGCTGAAAAAGCGCGGCTTTCGGGGTTTGAACCCGGCCCTTCTCTTTCTCAAAGTTTTCAGCGCTGCTCCCCTCGCCAAGCCCTAAAATCCCCGCCGCGTTCGCACCTCCTGTCGGCTCTCTACAACGATTTACCGTGTCGAACGCCGTATTTATCGCCGTCTCTAATAGCGTAATCGCCGGGTGTAAAGGAGTAATCGCGACGTTCGATGGAGAAATCGCGGCGCTTGGAGGAGTAATTACTGCTTTTGAGAAAGTAATCGCCGCATCTAGCGGAGTGACCGTCACGCGAGCCCAAAAAAACTCCTCGCCGTCAATCGAAGCGCCTGTTGCCGCAGAACCAGCCGCGGTACGAAACTGACCCCGGGTCTGGGCCATCTCGTCGCCTTCCGCCGCTTCCGCCATTCTCTCCGCCGTTTCCGCCGCCGCGTCCTGTGGGTGAAAGCCAGATAGACCACCGCAGTCCGCGGCGGAGGGAAAGGGGGAGGCGGATTTGCGCCGCTGCTGGCGAAGGCGCACATCGCCGCAGCCGCTGCCTGTGCGACGTCGCATGCCGCCGGAGCCCGTGTCGTGCGAGTAGGCGGCGTCTCCGCATGCGAAGAGGCGACTGTCAGTAACGGCGTTACAGGAGAGACGAACGATACAACCTGCGCTGCGATCTAGGTCAAGAGTTTTCCCGCCAGCGGAATGAGCTCCCGAAACAGCGGAATGCGAAGAGAGTACGAGTCTCGCTTGACAAATCGAGGGGTCGATAGTGGAAGCAGTGGGAGGGTGTGGTGTGACGGACCGAAGTCTACAGACTGTATCGAAGCAGCTCTGTAACGCGGACCAATCTTCCGGGTGAACGTACTTCGGAAGGAAAGAACTCGCAATAGTCGGCGCCATGGCTGTTCAGTTTCTCCTGAAGTCTAAAATTGAAGCAACCCGCCGTAAAAAATGATAACGCTGTCACTTTCTGGAAGCTAAGGCATGCTTACCTCCCGGAAATACATATGCGGTCTCCGGTAGACGCAATGCAGAACATATGCTGGCGTGCAGGACACGCCATTCACCAGCAAAAAAGTTATCAACTATTCTCAGCCACAGCTGTGTCTCCTCTCACTCTCTTTCTCACCATCTCTCTTCTCTCGCGGCAAACACGCTGAGCTGACCTTGGGTCTATCTATTTCATGGATGTATTGTCATGGATTTTCAGCTAGACGAACCAAGACGAACAAAGTAGAAACGCAGTGTGATAGACGAGGTTTGATTCACGCGCCATTGGAGCAAAGAAAGGAGCTACAAGCACTGCTGGATGGCAGTCTGGCGGTGATGATGAAGGCTTGCTAGAGAGACTGCCACGGACTTAGGGCTGGCGGTTTTGTTCTTTGTCGTGTGTGATTGAAGGTTGTTCTTGTGGTGGGTGTGTGTGATTGTGTGGGGTGAGGTTTACCGCTGGGTGGGGAAAGGCGGTGACAGCACTGGAAGGGATCAGATAGGGCAGCTGGTGCGATGCGTGCTTCCCTTGCGATGCTGTCAGCCACCGAATTCGAAGGGAGGGGAAACTGTTTTTCTGTTTTTTCGCTGCTTACAGTGTTCTTTACAGTGTTCGCTGCTAACAGTGTTCTTTACAGTGAGTTTTGCGATTCAGAATGCGCTAGTTGCTGCACTACGTCCCTGCGAGGACGAGGGTACACTGTATGGAGTCAAGCCTGACATACAAAGTACACATGATGCCCAACCAGTACACGCGAATTTGCCTTGCACCGGATGGAAACGCTGCACCCGAGGTTTTTTCCCCAGCCTGTTGCACCCTTACCTGTTACAAGCACGTCGCGCAAGCTGGAGTGATTTTGAACCACAAGTAACGAACAGACCGTGGTCATACTGGAGAGACTGAAGTCAAAATGTCAACGGATAAGGTTACAGATTCTATATATAAGCACCTGCGAATTCTTTTTAGCCACCTGCGAATCGACGAAAATTTTGCGAACTTGACGATACAGCTTATACGCTCCCTTCACAAGGCAACAGGGAGAGGCTCAATCAGGCATCAGCTGTACACCGTATGTACAGTACGTGTTCTGTACATGATGTTTACGGGCATCGACGTGTACTTGTACAGAGCTTTGCCCAGGGATGATCTGACAGAATCTCGCTGAACCTGCACTGTTCTCTGAACGGCACAACTGTCCAACCATGATTCGCTGCCGAGGCGTCAAATTTGCAATGCTTTCCTCAGCGTCTTGCCGCTGTACAGCAGGGGCCAATAAGCTTGCGATAATCGCGACACAAGTCGGTCCACGCTGGCGAGCTGCCAAGTCTGAGCCAAGCCTTGCTCGTGGAGAGGGCTGGCGTTTTCACCTCGACGTCTAGAAGACCGTTGTTACCTTCGAGAAAGTGAGGTCAGGTTCGGTTCACGTGATTCTCGATAGATCGGGATCGAATCCTGAGAACACTGTAGCAGCTGCACACGCGTCTCGGATATCCGCGCCAAGATATTGCACTTTTACTACACGACGTTTACTCATGTTAATCACCTAAAAACTACAGGTTTTGACATTCAATAGTATCACACAAGCCACCCCTTCAGGTTGAACTTATACTGCAACACCCATAATGAGTTTTTCCTGCTCGTCCAACTTCTTCACTTGCATGAGGCCGATCAGCACGCGCATGCCAAACACGGCGCTGGCAAGCAGCAGCAATGTAGCAGGCATTTTGCGGGCGGCTATGTGCATGGCTGACGCAACATTCACCAAGGTAGCTGCTGCTATGGCCTGAAAGGGTGCGAAAGAACAGGGAAAATTATGTAAGAGGGGAAGTGAGTCAGTGGTGTGACTGGGAAACACAGGAAGCTGAAGGGGAAAACAAGGCAAAAAAGCGTGGGAGATGTTGTAGTGACGAGCATTTCTGGTGTGGACAGTGCCAGCAAGCAGAAAGGTTCTTACGCTGCCAATGGTGTTCTGCATAGTCGCCACTCTCTTGAATGCTCTCTCGTTCTCCAAAGTCCGCACTCTCAGCTTCAAGTCACCTTGCTCCTGAACATTCGCATGGAGAGAGGAAACAGTGACTGTCAGTCAGCGGGTGTACAGGGTTTGAGTGCATGCATGCTGCGTGCATGTGTCGCCATCTGTGTGCGTGTGCGAGCACGTGCGGTGCATACATTGCTGAGATTTCTCAAACGACAATGCCTGCACAGCACAGTAGGTAAAGCACAAGGCAACCCAATCCCAGCTCGCAGCGCGCACCAGTCTCAGGATGACGTCAGCAAGCTTCTCCACGCGGCTGGGCTGCCTGAGAAGGTTCCGGAAGGCCTGCGACTGGCGGTCCCACCGCTTCCTCAGCTCCTGCTCACCCGGACAGCATTGGTACCCAAAGGATGGGGGAAGAAATATGGCGTGAGGAACAGGCATGACTAAGCAATTGATGCAATCACAGGGCAACCCTCTCACACACATCCATAGGAAGGAGTGCAAGGGGTTCCCATGGCATCCCGCTCTCACACATGGCATAGCATCACCATTTGAGAGTGCAAGACAGGGGCTCGCTTTGAAGAAGAGCACTGGGCCCAGTGCTGTCAGTAGCAAACAGGTGGGTTGCGGAGGGCTGAGCACTGGGCCCAGTGCTGTCAGTAGCAAACAGGTGGGCTGCGGAGGGCTGAGCACTGGGCCCAGTGCTGTCAGTAGCAAACAGGTGGGCTGCGGAGGGCTGAGCACTGGGCCCAGTGCTGTCAGTAGCAAACAGGTGGGCTGCGGAGGGCCGAGCACTGGGCCCAGTGCTCTTCTTCTTCATGTCTTGAAATTGCCATCGTCTGCGGCTCACCTTGAAGAAGAGCTCTGAGCCGACCTCCCTGAAGCGAAGCAGCTCAAGGGCATAGCTGGATGAGGGGCGGGATGGGAGAGGGGGAAGAGGAGAGAGGCAGGGAGATAATGGCTAGGTGCGAAAGTATAATGACTAGGTGAGAAAGTATAATGGCTAGGTGAGAAAGTATAATGGCTAGGTGAGAAAGTATAATGGCTAGGAGAGAAAGCATAATGGCTAGGTGAGAAAGTATAATGGCTAGGTGAGAAAGTATAATGGCTAGGTATGAAAGTATAATGGCTAGGTGAGAGAGCATAATGGCTAGGTGAGGAAGTATAATGACTAGGTGAGAAAGTATAATGGCTAGGTGAGAAAGTATAGGAGTAAATTCTGCATTGCAAAAAACAAAAACAAAAAAAATGGGGGGGGGGGGAAGAAAGGGGGGGACATATAGCCTGGCAGTAGAAGGGGAGAGAGAGTAACGAAAGGGGGTAGAGCAGGCATATGGCTTGGCAGCACAAGCAAAAGAGCAGCAGAAGGAGAGGAGGACGAGAGGGCGTACGGCTTGGCGATCTCAGAGATGTCAAACTTGGCATCGAGCCCCTTGCCAATGCCGTCCAGCACTGAGAATGCGCGCACCACAAAGGTGAAGCTGCAGGGGGGGAGAGGAGGGGGGCAACGTGGGGGGTTGGGTTGAAGAATCATAGGGGGCAGTGGAGCAAAGGACGCCCCTTGCCAATGCCGTCCAGCACTGAGAATGCGCGCACCACAAAGGTGAAGCTGCAGGGGGGGAGAGGAGGGGGGCAACGTGGGGGGTTGGGTTGAAGAATCATAGGGGGCAGTGGAGCAAAGGACGCCCCTTGCCAATGCCGTCCAGCACTGAGAATGTGCGCACCACAAAGGTGAAGCTGCAGGGGGGGAGAGGAGGGGGGCAACGTGGGGGGTTGGGTTGAAGAATCATAGGGGGCAGTGGAGCAAAGGACGCCCCTTGCCAATGCCGTCCAGCACTGAGAATGCACGCACCACAAAGGTGAAGCTGCAGGGGGAGAGATGGGTTGCGAGACGGGGAGATGTTGAAGACATAGGGAAAAGTGGAGTAAAAAAGGGCCCTTACCAATGCATCGAGGTAGGGCCCTTACCAATGCATTGAGGTAGGTAGGGCCCTTACCAATGCATTGAGGTAGGGCCCTTACCAATGCATTGAGGTAGGGCCCTTACCAAGAAGTAGGGGAACGTGGAGCATTGAGAGGGTTTGCTCGCCCCACAAAGATCATTCTGTGCAGAGATCCTTCTAAGCGAGAGTGCAACATTCTGAGGGAAGGTGTGTGGCGATTGTGCCGTGTCATTGCATGCCATCTGCTGCTGAACCATGCCATGCCATGCCATGCCATGCCACACAAATAACCCCGAGGTGCTTACGTGGCTGGGAATCGGAAGGGCTGATCAGCTGCGATAGCCAACAGGTCCTCTCCTGTTGGTGGGGCATGGAGGTCGGGGGGCAAATGAAGGGGTGGAGCATGTTAAAGAGCAGGGCACATGAGAGAAAAGAGCACAGCCAGAGACAAGGAGAGGCTGGGAATCAGAAGGGCTGGCTGGTCAGCTGCGATGGCCAGCAGATCCTCTCCTGTTGGTGGAGCAGGGAGGGCATGGAGGGCACATGAGGGCATGGAGGGCACATGAGGGCGGAGCACATGAGGGCGGAGCACATGAGGGCGGAGCACATGAGGGCGGAGCACATGAGAGGGTAGTCAAATAAAGAGAAAACACTA